ATATGTAAAGTTACCTATAATCTATAACTTGAGAGTTTTCAAGTTGATGGAGGTAAACATTTGTATTAAACATAACTTTTTGGACTTTTAACCCGATCTTGATAGTAAATCTTAGAATTAACTGGGGTTTATGCTTTTACAGTAACGTAATATGCTACTACTACTACTATTAGTTTTTTGCATTTTCATCCATGTAGAGCTTAAAAACCAAACATATTTGAAAAAAGAATAAAAAAAAAAGAGAAACATATAAGTAATTATTAGTTCAGTAAAGTGTTAATGTCAATTTCCAAGTAATTTTGCTGGAGGAATAATATCTCTGCATACAAAATTTCACCCCCCTTTTGCACATTAACAAGATAGAATTCATCACAAGTGTTTTATATCACTCGCCTATGTAGGAACAGAAGCACCCACCCATTGGAAACAAACGCAATATGAATGAAGTCTTTAGAGCTTGTAGTTTTGGGTGTGCTGTGCACCAATGTATCCAGTCCGTCGACAGTTTACTCTTTTTACAGATGATTCTTAATGGAGTGATGATAAGCTTTGTACAGACGGAGGACCTCAATATAAATTAATTATATGTTCCACATTTATCAATAGATCTAATTTAATTTTAATTGAAAAAAAAAATCATAAAAACCAAATTTTCCTGTACTTCAAAAGTATTGTTTGTGTTTTCATTTTCTTGAACAAGCATAAATAAGCTTTGGCAGTGCCTCTTGCCTTTTATAGATTTTCATAAGAAAAAATAAATTAACATTTACTTTTACAATGTTGCCAAGCTTTGACAAATATTTTCTGTTGTCTGAAGAAAAAAACCTAAAAATCTATTCATCTCGGATTAATTTTTAAAACAAAACAAATGTTTTTATTAAAACAACATTTGTTATATAAAGTAAAATAGTTATTAAGAATATCTAAAATATAATAAGATGGATGTAAAGTAGTGGTTGTTAGGTTAACAATACAAAGGTGAGTGCATGGCGTGTGTGGTGTGCGCAGGGTAACGCGAGTCTGGACGTGCCCAACCTGCGTGGCGCGACGCCCGCCGCCATGCTGCAGGCGGGCGACTGCCTCTGGCTGGGCGCCAAGGTGGCCGACAGGGTCCGGGAACACGCGCTGCTCTCAACCAGGAGAAGCATCTTCCGCAGGTTAACGTACGAAAAGGTAAAATAAAACTTATAACAATATTTGGATTAAATTTTTTGTCGGATGAGACAGTTGTATGTATGTTGATGGAGTGAGATATTTGAATTGTGTTGCAGAAGTTCAGATGGTGGTGCGTGGTGGCGATGCCGTTCATGGCGTTCTACCTCACCGGCCTGGTCTTGGAGATCGACGCTCTCTATGTGCTCAAGTTATTCTTTCTCGTCTGTTTCTACGGAGTGCTACATTTGCTTGGCAATGCACTTTTCGACGATGAACTAAAGAATATATTCCCTTTGAGCGTTTACTTAGCTACAAAGGTGAGGGTTATTCATGATTAGAAATAGTAATGCGTGTGAGAGTGAGAGTGAGAGTGCGTAGTGCAGAGCGGGCGGTCGTTGTGCAGGTGTGGTTCTACATAACGTGGGCGGCGGCCATCGCGCCGGCTGTGGGCGCGCCCGCCACGCTCGCCTTCCTGCTCTGCTCCGCCGCGCTCTGGTACACCTTCCTGCGCTCGTGGCGCAGCGACCCCGGCGTCATCACCGCCACCAAGACGGATAAGTTCCGAGTGAGTTGCCTCGCTTCTTTCATAACCTCTCCTCACCACTCAATTTACATCTAACTCGTACCCTATCTGGAATCAATGTAAAACTCGTGGGAGGTAATTTGATTTTAAACGTTAAAAGTCGATTCGCTTGATTGGAATGCAGTGGCGATGCGAGCAAGGCGACGATTGCTCGCCTCGGCACTGCGTCCGGTGCGGCCGGTGCGTCCGGTGCGTCCGATGCGTCCGGTGCGACTGGTGCGACTGATCGGTTAGCAGACGATCATCGAGCTGTCGGAGGGCAGCGGCGGCGGGTTCGAGCCGGCGCGCTTCTGCTCGGCGTGCCTGGTGCGCCGCCCGCTGCGCTCCAAGCACTGCTCCGTCTGCAACCGCTGCGTCGCCAAATTCGACCACCACTGCCCCTGGGTGGGCAACTGCATCGGTGAGCGACACCCTCGCCTTCCGCGTCCGCTCGCGCCCTGCGCCTAGCGCCCGGTGCCCAGCGCCTAGCGCCCGGTGCCCAGCGCCTAGCGCCCGGTGCCCAGCGCCTAGCGCCCGGTGCCCAGCGCCTAGCGCCCGGTGCCCAGCGCCTAGCGCCCGGTGCCCAGCGCACAGATGCGATGTGTACGAGACACGTGTTGTGCAGGGGCAAACAACCACCGCTACTTCCTCGGCTTCCTGGCCTCGCTGCTGGTGATGTGCGCCTGGATGCTGTGGGGCGGCGCGCAGGCGGTGCGCGCGCAGTGCACGCTGTCGCCGGGCGCGCGCGCGCTGCTGGACGCGCTGCGCTGCAACGCCTGGCTCAGCTGGGTCATGCTCAACGCGCTCTTCCACCTCTTCTGGGTGGCCGTGCTCACCGGCTGCCAACTCTACCTGGTCACATTCCTCGCTCTCCATTGCTATCTTTATATTTTGCATCTCATTTTACTTTGCCATTTATTAACTTTTGTGATCATTATTATGTTTGGTATTAAAGAGGCTGCACATATCTTGATGAAATTTAGCTCAAATTTTAAACGTCTAACCTAAGGAAGAGCTCATATATGTTAAGTTTTCTTTTATTTCGGGCCGGAAGAGGTTGCGGATAAAAGCTTATATAATAAATATATGTGCGGCAGGTGGTGTGCCTCGGCATGACGACCAACGAGCAGCTGAACCGCGGCCGCTACCGGCACTTCCAGGCGCGCGGCGGACGCTCGCCCTTCACGCGCGGCCCGCTCAACAACTGCGCCGACCTGCTGGGCGTGCGACTGTGCGGCCTGGCCGCGCCGCGCCCCACCGACTGGGCCGCCGCCGGCCTCGACGACGAGCCCGACACCGACACCGAGCCCATGCTGCGACACGCGCCGCACGCACACCACCTCGTCTGAGCCCGCCGCCAGGCCGACACCGACACCGACACCGACACTGACTCGTGTGTGAGTTGCGCGCTTTGCAACTCGCACCATTTCGTTAATAGTTTTCACCTCCATTCCATAAACAATGAAGTAATTCAATGAGTAATAAAATAAGGGTCTAATATGAAATCATGAGTCTGTCTGTGAGTGCTGAGCGCACTCGGCTGACACAGACATGGCGGGTCGAGTGCGCACTCGGCAGACACAGACATGGCGGGTCGAGTGCGCACTCGGCAGACACAGACA